GAAACCCCTTACTGTAAATTGATTTATTTACTCTATAAATGGCGAATCTGCTATCGTTACAAAATAAAAAGAATTGCTTAAGGATGTTCGATGTCTTACCAGATCATCTATATATAGTAATTTTAGTTAAAGAAAGGGATAATGGGTTTCGCTTGATTTGTGAGATTATCTCGGATATATCCTCCTTTTACTTTCCTCACCAAAAAGATACTGTTATTTATGGGATTTAGCTGTTTCGAGCTTTTGTTGCTTTAAATGAAAAATCTGTTGAAAAGCTCATGGATGCGAGCTTTAATAATACTCTCAAGGTAAGTAACCACGTGTGGCTTATTGGGCCTTTTTATAAGATGATCTGTGATACTATTTTGTATAGCTTTCTCACATAATTAACGCTACCGAACTGTAAAAAGCAATGAAATAGTTATATCAATATCTAGACGTTCGGAAGGCGAGATTTCTATAAAATCAGTCGATGAAAGGAAGGCGGCGTTTCTAAAACAGCACAATTTTACTGATTCAGCTGTAATAGTCCAAGGAAGCTGATTTCCATGAATGAGGTTCACAAATAGCGAGAATATATCGAGTGGCACAGTTTGTATCTCCGTATCTAGAAACTGGAATTCGCATCCTTGCTGACGTGCCTGGAATAATAACGATCATTTTCCTGCACACCTACTTTCATTTTCATAAATATCCCTTTTAAATTGCTTATCGACTGAAATCAGTGCTTGAACGTGTGAATGTTCCTATTATGCACCGCTTTACGTTTACTTTTCTTAACATTCAGTTATTAAAATGACTTCATAAATAACGTTTGTAATCTATCCAGAGATATTGTCTGACGAGAATGAGAAAAAGTACCTACTGGATTGCTACATCATTAACGAGAAAGGGATTTGGCGCAATGTACTTTCAAGAACTTCCCGCTTATTGTTAAATGAAAATGTGTTTAATATTTTATGATCCTGTCTCATTTACTTGAAAACCAAGAAAAGTTGTTTGTCAGAACAGTAAAGTTGAATTATTGCAATAAGAACTTTATTTGTGAGCCTTTTTCTTTTAAAAAAAGCTTGGTGACGTCAAAGTTCATAAAAGTTGATAAAAATGGTAGGTATACAGGTGCTAAATTACTTGCGCTAGACTTCAGATTTCACTTGGGCCAAAAACCACACAATGCTCTTCTCAAAGGTGCTATTTTTGGTTTTTTTAATTATATCTCTGTATCTCACTTGCCATCAGATCAGAACTGAAGCCAATGGCGGAACATCCGTATTTTCGACATCCTACTTATATACATTTCTAGAAGCAGTAGCAGGTAGCCCATTCGAAATTACAATCTGCAGCGTTTATATCCAACCTCATCTCTCAACTAACCCTTCCTTTCATAATTACTGGCGACTTCAACGCTCACAACTCCCTATGGGGTTAGCAAAAAAACACTCAGTAAGGGGAAAATCATCGGAAATGTATTCTCAATAACGGCGCTGACACACACTTTAACATCTGATCCCCAACATTCTTTGCAATTGACCTCCCCGCAAACGGCTCCCCCGATTTACATGGAACTCCGTATAGATCAGTGTTTCTCAAACTGGGGGGCGCCGCGCCGCAAGGCGTTGTTAAAAGGGGCGCAAGATCCCTGATGTGTTTAAGGCAAATATTTACCTTTAAAATACTTATTATATTAGGTATTTTATGTAAAATTGTATTTGACCGCCAATTCTTACACAAATAAGAAGGTAGGTATCTACAATTCGGGAAATTCGCCTTTTTATATATGCTGATGAAAGCACCAATGTTGCACAATGTTGCCAGATGATAGTGTGTATGTGCGATATATAATGGTGCTATAAACGAAGAGATCTCGTATGAATTAAAAACGACCTCAAAAGCCGTTGATGTTATGGCTGCTATATCCGACTTGATTGAAAAACATAATATTTTGTCGCAATCATTTTTTAGCACCGTCAGAAAGTTGATAAAAATTTACCAGTGTTTTGTTAAATTATTTTTTGATATATTTGAAAATAAATGGACACCAACGCATTTTTCGATTTTTTGACCATAACTTCGCTATTTGTAGACCGACAAAATGGGAAAATTAATCACTATTCAATGCATAACTTTACCCATTTAAGCGGCTTATATCTCCTATGGTTTCCGAGCCATAATGAAACTGAAAAAAAACTCACCCTATAATTTTTGTAATAAATACGTTTGTTTGGCGGCAGTTTTTATTTTTAAATTAGGCTAGGGGGGGGGGGCGTGAGCAATTTTAGTTTTATGAAAGGGGGCGTCATGGAACCACTGCCTTAGATGATCTCCATGACAGCGACCACTTTCTTATCATTATAACTGACAAAGCCAACAAACAAACTAAAAATATAACGAAGTGGAGAACAGCCCATGCCAACTGGGGGCGCTTTTAAATCCAAGGTAGAAAATCAAACCGATCAATTAAATACGAACTCGATATACACTCTGCTTAAACTGGGGCAGACTTATCGTAGATTTATGTTGTAGATCTTGCGCTAGGAACATTCTTAAAGTACTAAACCTTGTACTTCATTTTTGATGGTCTAATTACATCGCGTGACTCATACACGTAGAATAATTACTATTGGAAGGCAGTTAAAATTACTGTTACAGTAACATTTCAGTAGATTTGCAGACAGTAACATAAAAACTCCCAAATGATTGCTACGTTACGCTTTTATATATTAATGTTTCACAGAATAGAATATTGGTCAGGCAAAAGTTATTTAGAAATACATTTAAAACTTATTGTATTTAGGGCGGTATTAGGAGCTGAAAAGATAAAATTCACAAAAACTGGTTATGAAAATCACGCTATTAAAACAAAAATCTCCCCTTATTTTTACACAACCGAGAAGATTAAATTATTATCCGTGCATTTCGCTCTTTTACGGCCGTTTAAGAGTACCTGTAACAACGATATTAATTTTAACTGCAAAACAGTTTCCAATTCTATGCGCGCTTTTGTACACATTTTTTTGTTTTTTTTTTAAACAACGAAGCGAATTTAATCTGCATATTTCCAACGGTACAATTTCGTGGTAAATATAATTTTGGATAATCTACTCGCCAGCAGTAATAAGATTTGGTACTTTTATTTTAGATTCCTTTTGTGGTAAAGTGGGAAATAAGAAAAGCCTAATTTAATAAGGGCGCGCAATTTTAAGTTGCATGCGACAACGGTGCACAACAGGAGCACACACAATGGCGTCTCGTCCTACGAGTTGGAATTGAATCAGTGGTTGTTTGATTAAAAACTTCCACCTAACTCCGGAACTTTATTGCATAGACTGCTTTAATTGCTTCACACCCGACTTAATTTATTCTACTTTCTGGCGTGGATTTATTTCATATAAATTTGTCCCTATATACTTTGTTGTGAAAGTCCTACATCCAACTCATAATCTAATCGTTATCGGCTCCTCGATTCGCAATTATTTTTTTGACCAATCACATCAAATTAATAAGGATTTTGCGTTTCCTCTTCTGTGCCAATTGCAGTAAATTTTGTTTCGTTTGTCTTTCGCAATTATATATACAGCATTGATTTTGGTAACGAGGTGAAAAACGAACAGCTTTCCGTAGTTTTCATGAAAAAATTTCCCAGGCCATGAAACATATTTTTGTGAGCAGTTTATCTATTATTTCAGTTGATTACAAATACTTACATAACTCAGGAAAAACCTGGATGTAGGTATGTACATAAAATCCATCGAAGCAAATTATGAAAGTTATACTATTCATTATACGAGAACAGTTTGATAAGTCAGCGACTTTTTGAATTCAGCACTGCTCCCGTCAACTGCCACCTATCAATAGACTACTGTACAATTTTGGGAAAGCTACGCCATTTAGGTTGTCTTTGACAGCTGGTGACAACCTCGTGAATTTTAACGAAACTGGTGAGTGCAGCTTTAAAAAACCATCATCGAAGTCAAGGCAAAGCTCGATAAGTACTATGGGGACTCTGCACCATCAATTTCAATGGTTAAGAAGTGGTTTACTGAGTTTCCATTGTGGTCGTACATAAATGGCTGGGCGGTAAAAGATTTGGGTCGAATGAAGAGGTCATCAAACAAATGGATATTTTGAGGAACTTGAAAAAACCTATTATTTGGGTGGAATGAAAAAATTGGAAAAACGGTGGAGAGTAAAACGCTTATATTCTGAAAAAATATCTTTCATTCAAAAAGTCCCTGACTTATCAAACTGCCCCCGTATTATAATTCTCCGTTTTTGTTGCTATTAGAACATATACTACATACCCTATACTATAAATTCTGGTTGAAGCTTTCCACAGGAACTACCTTTTTGTGTTTAATTACCTTTGGAAGAAGAAAATTGGTTGCTCTAAAACTTTTTGAGGGATTAATATACAATAAGCGAAACACACTATAAAAACTACAAATTTGTATCATGGAATTTGCTAATAAAACATGACCGGACACATAGGTGAGGAAATCGCGAAAAAGAGTCCAAGTTCTTATTTTGTTCTGTGTGCACCAGAATACACAAAAGCGCTATGTCATATTTAGCACGACTCACGGATATACCCTAAAGCCAGGGAGGCTTTAAAGACGTGTAATAACTGCAAGAGCAGCGGTGCCAGTCCCTTCTGTAGAAGATTTTTTATGAGTATTCTTATATAAGTATATAAAGTGTGCAACATTTCAAATTTTTATTTCTGTGTGTGTGTCTCTGTGCCAGCGTTTGCAATTAAATTTAAAAATAATATAAAATGGAGCCCACCAGCAAAAGGTGTGTTATTCCCCGAAGAAGGTAGAAAAGGTGGTGTTAAAGTTAAGTTGTATCTAAAAAATCCTCAAACCGCAATTGTGAAAATCAATACCCAAAGTGATTCCTATGAGCTTTACATTCTCAGGATAAGCCATCGTTTTTTATATCTAAGCAAAAAAAAAGTATTATGTAAGCTACTACAATATTGGGAGTTAAGTTTATCCAAACACATTTCATAATATAAGTTTAATTGGTTAATAACCGGTGGTAAAAGTAAATAATCAGTTTATCATTTACATAATGCAGATTATCTAGTGAAACTTTGGCCTTGAGAAGGTACGTCTTGAGGACACAATCTAAACTACCGCATAACCAGAATTTCGTAACTGTTATAATTAACTTCATTGCCTCCAAATGGGATGTACAGACAGCCATGGGATGGATGTACCTAAAAGTATTGTTTAGCAACAGATTGACCCGTGCACAAGTATCCACCTTTCCAACGGTTATACTATTTCCATGACGAACTCTGCCGAGATACAGTGTTTCTCCACTGGAGGTGTGTCCAGCGGGTACGGCACCAGGAGGTATATAACTTCCGGATGAAGAAACCCATTGCATGTGCTGTTCCACTAAATACTAAAAGAAACACATACGAAATACGAAAAGAGATAGACATAATGGTACCTCGTAGTTGGATACGTTGTGTTCTCTGCCATTATGTGAAACATAAGCCTCCCTTCTTTGTGGAACGATTTTACACGGAAGCGTATCTCCATGAAAAAACGCTCTTCCTGCATATATTAGACTACCGTCCGCATCTTGTCCCGCCTGGACTGCTCGAGGAGGAGCTGCTCGTCCATGGGACGAAGCCACCCATGTGTACCCTAAGCACCCGTTTTTGCAAAGCAGGCATATTCAAAGAATAAACACTTACCGGTCATTACTCTCGACTTTTGACGGTGTTCTGTGATATTATTACTGAATGTTATGCCAAACATTAATCATAATCTTGCACTAAGTGCGAGATACCGCTTATCATTGATACCACACCTCAATTTATTTGGAAAATGTATACATTACGCATTGCTTACATACAGATTTTTGTCTAAATACAAGGTTCCACGATACGCGGTGACAGTCATACGTCATTTTATGGAAATAGTAGGTACGTACGCCAGAACGAAGTGTGTTTTAAATGGTATTTGAAACGATACTACACCTAGTCAAAGATCCTGTAATGTTTTAAAGAGAAATGTTCGTTGCTACGCCAGGGTTTCAAAATTTTGGTCGTTCCGAAATCTGGAAACGGCAGATGATTCGTCTTTAATGTGGTTTAGCATCGATTTTTATTAAAGATTACTTTCACCCCTATGTACACACCTTTCTCCTCGAAATTTATGGTACTCCACAATTTCGACCGACCAAAATTATCACCGCACCACTCAATTTTCGTAATGGTTTAAGTCACATTAACGGCAGGTCTTGCAGATCGGTAGTTTTTTCGAAAACAGATTTTGTCTGACACCAAAATTCAAGGGAATTTATTGTAAAAAGATAGAAACAAAAGTTGTCGACACATTTTTCAAAATTTTTTGAATCCAAAGCGCTCTTGTAGCTTGTGTTTCCATATTTCATGAATCTAAAATTTACGTTTCAATCTGTTCTTCTTCCTCTCTTCATTATGTAAGGTAAATACCGGAGGAAGAACATCATTATCGTCACTTGAAAAATACATCGAAATACCTTTGACGTACTTGCGTGGAGTAAGTATGTAGAACAGTGTATAGGTAGTGATAGGTTTCTTTGCCGTGTCGCGTAAGTGGAAATCGACAGGAAAAGAATCGGCCTTTAATTGGACCTCAACATATATAGTCATTAGCCATTAGAGACCACGAACAAGAGGCATAAAGTAATAAAAATTGTACCACTAATTCAAATGGGTATTACATCCATATTCTGACAACTTAAAACCGGCTGTATAATAGTGAAAATAATAAAGAATGGGCAAACGTGATATGGTCGCGCTACTCAAAAGCTTTATGTGTAAAAAATTGCCACAAAATGAAAATTTATTAAGTACAGTAATTAACGACCGCATAGGTTACAACGTAAATTGCTTAGTTGTAAATTACCGTCCTTGAATATTAATAAATCCACTCGCCAATTCCTAAGGGCGAAGATTTTAATTTGTGAGAAACAATTGTAGGGAACCAATTTCGCAATGAAATCGCGCGTCCAAAAGGTAAAAATGAGGAAGCGTAACGGAAAACTCAACGGTATTAATATAAAAGTGGATTTCTAAAGGAAATCTTTAGGTATGGATGGAGTAGACGGCGGCCATAGGGTATAGGATTAAAGGATTACGCCATTGTCAAACGGCATTAGCTTGGATAACAAAGATTGCGGCTCGGGTCCTCTCCCTGAGTGACACAGCCGGGTTGATCCTACAAATGCGAATCCAGGACGTTCAATATTGAAGAGGAAACTTCAAAGGGACGCTTTCATTTTTATAATTGTCCTTCAGTTTTATTCCGTTGTTATTATTACACCTTTCGGCGCTTTGGAAACAAATATTTCCTCAATTTATGGAATAAAACTCGATTATGATAATTCCAACTAATAATTGGCAGTATCTTGGATAACTTGGAAATTTTAAAAAGTGTCCGTAACGAATTTAAGTTTAGCTTTGTCCAAGTTAGATTGGCGGTACCTTCACTAGTTACTGTCACCTGGAATTCCATTACACCTTTTTTTAAGCCCTAAAAGTTGAGTACTAGAATTCTCTTTGGAAATAGAGGGAATACTATTGCGTTTCGACAATTCAATTCAATTAAACACGCGAATTTCATCATTTTACACAAACACACCAAAGGAATATTTACACAAAAATCGTTACAGGCAAGTAGACGAGTAAACTGGCCTGTAGGGGTTTATTGGCTCATTAATTACACATTTGTACATTAGGTGGTATTAGGTATATTCGTAATTAAAAATTGTTTATTTACTGTTAAGTCTTGTTGCAAGCTACATCAAAACTTCTTCTTATGACGTGTGATAGACATGGTATCCATGTCCTTACGGATAGAAAGGTTGCTAGTGTTTTCGACTACGTAGAAGTAGACTATCGGGTCAAAAAGTTACAGCTCAAAACAGATCTTGAGGATCGTTTGGTATTCAGTTAATTAAAGCTCATTTAATTTCAAAACTAACTAGTAAATTCCTGACTCGACTTTCCGACTACTTATGTATAATACAAACATAGTACATTGATTAGAAAATGCCCTCTAGCACCTTTATTTTGAACTCGACGCAAGAAGTGTAGGTTTTTTGTAGAGCTCAGTGCAAATTATAAAATAAATAGTATAAGTTTCATATTTTAAATTGTTCAAAAACTAAGAAACTCACAAAAAAACTGTGATGAACTTTTTGAAGAGCTTTTTAAGCCGTTATGACCCTTTTAAACTTTTGACACTCAACAACCATCAACATGGTTACGGATCGAAATGTGAGGACCCTTATCTTTGTTAACACTCTAAAAATAACTTTGGGATAATCCCCACATGTACTATAATTCTATCAGGCTAAATGTAAGTGACAAATAGCATAAAGCATTGCAGTAAAGAAAGTTCTCTGTAATTTCGTTGCAAATGTTTTATGATTTTAGAGTGTGATGCTCCCAAGCGGTACCTGGATATTTTATTAGGAGCAAAAAAAAGCGAAGATGATAAAATTGGTGACGTTCTCCGCGATTAAGGCGTTGTGCGCGAGTGCACCATCCTGTTGAAACCAACAGCTTCCAACTTTTGTTTTATTTGTGTGTCGTACATTGATATATTCGTAATAAAAAATACTACACAATACATCAACATGTACGTTTTTTCTGCGGGCCATATAAAAAATAAAGTTGATGAGTATTTCTCCGAAACGAAAGGTTGATTTTATTTTATTTTTTTTTTATTTTATCCCTCTCTTGTTTTGGGCCCAATTACAGAGTGACCCGCATAATGCTATTTAGATTGAAAATCGATGTCTTGTAAAGCTCAAATAGTGGTAATGAGAAAGTGTTTTTCTTTTAAACTCTGTATCTATTTAGTGACAATACATAAGACAATATATGATTCAACATTAACATTATGAGAGCAAAAGCTGGGACGTGGTGAAAAATAAATGGTGAAGAAGCTGGTGTATCTATAGGAAATGCAACTGGAAAAAAAGCAACAGGTTGATACAAAGGAAGACTAAGAAAATCATGGAACATTGCTGAAGAAAGGGTTGTATAAACCAATGTAAAAGCAAAAAACACAAGAATATTTAAAGCTCGATTATAAAGATGTGCAAATACATACCTCACACCTATATATGATAGAAAGGTTATGATTAATTAGTATTATATGAAATAATACCAATAAAGATTTGTCCTTACACTCCCTGTCTTTTTTATGATCGCGATTAAGTTATAATAATTGTGGCATATCTGTAAATTCACGTTTACGCATATACGGTGTGAATCCTGGACGTAAATATTAAAAGGCGCATTAAATCTAAATGCTGTGTAATTACATTTGTGCTATCACTCTTGTCTATCACGGTGAAATATGAGCAACAGCAACCCTCTGGATAAAACCGCGTGATTAATGGAGAGATTTAAATATGCTACCTTCCTCCTACGTACACAATCATTGTTCCCGAAAAATATTCCGCTGCAATTCGCAGTAAGAATAAAAATTGATCCAAATTTTTCTTCATTTCCAAATCAATTTAATAAACGAAGTAAGAACACACTTTTTTAGTTGCATAGGTTCAACGGTAACATATAAATCGAACTTCTCGCCCAGAAACTTTCCCGGTAATCTCTGAACGTTATCAGGCTAAAACAAACTTATATTTCTCTGTCTAAAGCCAATTTCCTGTAGATCCTTCTTAAGACAAGTAGCCGAGTTGAGATTGTAAAAAGCAGGCGAATCTTGATAAATACGGACCGACCAGCGCAATTAACACCGACTTAGAAGACAGAACGTTTTCAAATCTATTACAATTACGTTCCCTTCTTTGCTTCCATGTTTAATTGACGTTTTAATTAAATCATTTAGGTAAGTCGAAGGGAAAAAGTCCCTTTTCGAATACGGTAATCTACGGCGACACACATTCACGGTGGTGTAATTGGCGTTTTTGCATTGCAATACCACAACTTTTATTAAATTCTGCCAACTTCTATATATGAAAAATGGTTTATGAAATGCTGGTATGTAACTTCTAAGCCGTGAAACGTCATTTGTCATTGAGGGGCTTACTTTGCTGTCACCAATCAGCATTTTACGAGCAGTACAGTACACGGGAGTGTCGTAAAACGATTCGAAAGTCCCTAAGGATCTCGACCGTAAGACTATGCAAATAGGTAAAAGATTTTTATGCGGGAATGGAAAGATTAAAGATTTTACCAATGTTATGAGTTCTGTTTAGTCGCTTTGTCTGAGATTTATTTCTCCTCACAAAGGGTTTCCGTACGATGCTATTAAGACCAATTACTGTTGAGAACTCATTAACATTGCTTCAATAAAGCAAATACTGTTCATATAAAATGCAATTTTTAAACCTAGCGTTAATTTTGATTTTCTGTAACGAAATTTAAGAGACTTTATCATTACAAAAGCACAGCGAAGTACATGCAGTTTTTATTTGGGAATTTCAGAAATTTGAAACTCAAAAATTCCCACTTTCCCCTCAAATTTCTACTTAAACTCTAAAGAATTATGGGAATATTTCAGTCCGTCAGGCTTGAACTTTTCCGGCGAAAGAGGATTCCAGATGGACTGAATTCTACATGGGCAAAATTATTAGGTGGTGACCTTCCGGAGGCGAACTTTTCCGAGGCGAATATTCCGGGGTGAATTAACCGAGGCGAATTTTTCAGGGAAGATCTTCCTGCAATCCTGTAAAATTATTGTACAATTTTCGAAATTGTGAAAGAAGACCTGCAGTATGGAGCACCGCATGCTTAAGATTATTTAAAATAATAATCCTAAAATTTATCTAGAACTATAAAGCAAGTTTAGTTGCAAGTAGAATTTCAGGCGAA